GGAGGATTAGATGTTCCTGCTTCATCCTACATGGCACAAATTATAAGTATCTTCAAGATTCCACAGGTAATTTTTGCAGAAGGTTGAAAGAGAAACTTTTCTTTCTTTTTTTAATGAATATCAGAGATTATTTTTTGGCCATGCCTTTCTGTAGGACTTCAATTAAATCCACTTTTTCTCCCTTCTGCAATTTTTCTCAGAACCCAATAGGTTGGCTCAAAGTAATCAATCAAGAAAATTAAAATCTTTTATTTGAAAGATTACAAAAGTAAAATTTAAACCACAAATTACAGTACAAAATTAATCTTATTTGAGATGGTCATCTGATCTTCCCGTTTGACCACTACCTGTGGTTGAATTCTGGAGCTGTGTTGAGAGAAGGAGTGAAAAGGCTGGCTAGCACATGCTACACAATTAGTACATAAACTCTCTGAGCAGGAGACCATATACAATTTCAGATAAATGATTTTCCAGTCTCCTTTTCAAAGGCTCCAGTGATGCAGCACCCACAACTTCTGGAGGCAATCTGTTCCATTGGTTGATTGTTCTCACCATTAGGAAATTTCTCTTTAGTTCTAGGTTGCTTCTTTCCTTGGTTACTTTCCATCCATTGTTTCTCATTTTGCCTTTTGGTGCTTTGGAAAATAGTTTACACCATCATCTTTGTAGGAACCCATAAATATTGGAACACTGCTATCATGTCTCATGGTTTTAGGGAGGATCTCCTTTCAATCACTTCCTGCCCATCCCCAACTCAAGGCTATCCAGCATTTTCACTGCTGCCCACAACTCACTGCTAGATTCCACCAAGTCACCCAATAATAGTGACAACTCTCTTTGCTATGTCTGCGTTGGTGTCTGTTAATAATAATAATAAAGTTGGAAGGGACCTTGGAGGTCATCGAGTCCAACCCCCTGCTCAGGCAGGAAACCCTACACCATTTTCGACAAATCGCTGTCCAGTCTTTTCTTAAAAACTTCCAGTGTTGGAACATTCACCGCTTCTGGAGGCAGGTTGTTCCATTGGTTAATTGTTCTAACTGTCAGGAAGTTTCTCCTTAGTTCTAGGTTGCTTCTCTCCTTGATTAGTTTCCATCCATTGCTTCTTGTCCTGCCCTCAGGCGCTTTGGCGAATTTCTTGACTCTCTCTTCTTTGTGGCAGCCCCTGAGATAGTGGAAAACTGCTATCATGTCCCCCCTCATCCTTCTCTTCATTAAACTAGACATACCCAATTCCAGCAGCCTTTCTTTTTTTTTTTTTTTTTTTTTNCAAATATTAGTATCTCTAACTCCACAAAGTATATTATTCTACATGAGTAGGTAAAATATTTTAAGAAGAAAAAAACAAGTTTACTAAAAACCTAAGTTATATTCCACCACTCTATGCTTTTTTTGAATATAAACAATCCATCTTCTCCATATTAATAAAAATTGTTCATTTGAGTAATTCTTCAAATAAGCCGAAATCTTTGCCATTTCAGCAAGATGCGAAACTTTCAATCTCCAATCTTCCATTGTAGGTAAAATTTTACTCTTCCAATTTTGAGCTATCAGCAAGCGGGCAGCAGTTAAACAATACAACATCAAATTCGTTTCTTTTACATCCAAATTTTGTGTAATACCTAAGAGAAACAACTGAGGCAAAAAAGTAATTCTTCTTTTAGAAATTTGCTGTAAGTTCCACCACAATTTTATCCAAAAAGCCTTTATAACCTTACAAGTCCACCACATATGAAAAAAAGTTGCATCTTGTTGTCCACACCTCCAGCACTTGGATTCATAATTCTCATAAATGCGAGACATAGTTGCAGGGTCCATGTGCCATCTATAAAACATTTTATAAAAATTCTCACGTAGATTTTGTGCTTGCGTAAACTTCACATTTCTCACCCATATCAACTCCCAGGTATCCATAGATATTGTTTCTCCTATATTTTGAGCCCATTTAATCATGCAATCTTTAACTAACTCAGTTTCTGAATCCAATTCTAATAAAACATTATATATCCTTCTAATATGTCCTTTAGCACCGTCCCTTACTTGTTTCAAAAAATTCCCATCTTCCATAGAAAAAATAGTCTTTTTATCAATTCGCCATCTCTCTTGAATTTGTCTATACACCAGCCAAGAGAAATCTGGATTTTTCTGTTTCAAAACTTCTATTGATTTCAGGCACCAATTACCAGTACCACTCTGGTATAACAAGTCTTTATAAGAAGGCGCCTCCATCACCACATATCTAGGTATGGTCAAAAAGATATGTGATGGTATCACCCAAATTGGTAATTTGACATCAAACTTAAAAAAGTACTTTTGCCAGACTCTTAACAAAGCAGCCCTTATTATGTGATTTCTAAAAGTTTTGTCAATCTTTTTCTGCATGAAAAGATAAGCATGCCACCCAAAGTACAAGTCCCATCCTTTGACATTCAGTATCCTTTTGTTAGACAAGTTAATCCAATCCGTCATCCATGTCAATGCACAAGAATCATAGTAAAGTGTCAAATTTGGTGCTTTAAGTCCTCCACGTTCTCTAACATCTTGAATAATCTTAAATCTAACCCTAGCTTTCTTGCCTTCCCAGATGAAGCGATTCAAATCTCTTTGCCATTCTTTCAAGTTAAGTTCATTCTTTAAAAT